GCATCGTGGCTTGCTATATATTTTGCATCTCCTCTTATGCCCATGAATGCGTCTGAATCGTCCGAGCTTTACTTATATATTTTGCATCTCCTCTTATGCCAGTAGCCCATGAATGCCTCTGAGTCCTCCGCATGTTGAGCTTGTGTTCCCACTTCATGTATTCAGACTTCTCTCTTCTCTCTCATCATCTTACTCTCTCGTTTTATTAGTTGCTCCAGCCTCCTCCGTTCCTTTGCTGTCTTGTTTCTCTACTCTCACTTCTAAACATTCGACACATACTTTTACTACTGCTGAGGGTATGTTATTTCTCTTGTGTATTTTTTATTTTGTCATTATAATATTTAATTTGATTTTCTTCTTTATTTTTTTATTTGATAAACTATTATTTTAAATCTCCAGGTGCTAAGTGGTGGGTTGAACAATTTCAAAAATCTATACTCTTAGGCGCCTCTTATTTTGCTGGTAAGAATCCTCTATTGTATAGTTTTAAGATCTCAAGATTTTGTTTTGATCTTTATTACCCATTTAGTCCTATTTATAAGGCACTTTTAGTATATTTCACACAGATTAAAAAACCGTTAAAATAATTTCACATCCACTATCTCATAATTTGATTATAAAAGTAACACTAATCAAGCACAAAAATGTATATTTTCATCAAGTATTTTTTTTTTCAAGAGTCAGATCTGTTATGCATGAAAAGAATTAATGGCATGGGAAAAAAAAGAGAGTAGAAGAGGTTAATAACAAAAGGAATGAGTAGGGGATAGTGGAAAGGATGAATAGAGAGAGAGAAGAAGTGGAACATGCGGGAATAATAGCATAAGAAGAAGACAAAATTGAAGGACCTTTAGCACTGGATAAAGGAGTAAAGAAAATGTACCAATTGTGTAAATAACTTAATAAGGATAATTATGTATGTTTGTATTAAAAATTATATCAAGTGCCTTATATATAGGATCAAAATTTACACTCTCTCTGTCTTATAAATAAAACTAGAGGAGTATCTTTTACGTATATGATTTTTTTAAATGAATATATAAGAAAAAAATTCATAGCTTTAACTTTTTTTTCCCATATTATTCCTTATTTGCTATCAATTTTAATAATTTTTTTGTTTTACTCGATCTTGATAGGTGTGTATTAAAGTAACTAACAATTAAAAAATTATTAAAATAAATGAAAAATTTTAGATATAAAAATAAATCTGAATAATTTTATTCATTTAATTATTTATTGTTTTAAAAAACCAAGGTTAAGAGAAATAATTATAAAAATTTAAATTGTATTTAATGAAATCAAGTAAAATATGTTTATTTACATTTAAACATATTTATAAAATATATATATGGGGTAAAACAATTTATAAAATTAAAAGTAACAAAAGAGATGTTTGAAAACAAGAGAAAATTTCAATTAGAATAGAATAAAGACAGATAAAATTTAACTATTCGCTAAGGGTGTTCATGTAAATGAATAATTTCATTTCATTGTGTTTAAATATGTAAGATATTTTAGCTTAATAATAAATGATTTTGATTTGATTTCAATAAATTTTGTTATTATTGATAAGAAAAAGATTATAAATTTTTTTAGTACAAGTTAAGGAGATTATAAAAAAGATCTATTCAATGGAAGCATCATAAGAAAAAATTGTAGGGATTTAGTTAAGGGTACTTTAATATTTTTAAATTTATATTTTAGTATTTGGTCCTTATAAATAATTATAATTTTTAAGATCCTTCTCAATAAATATTATTTTTCTAGGTCCTTCCCCCTAATTTTTTCTTAAAATAATATAATTTTTACCTATTTACTAAATATTTTGGATAAAATAATGAGAATAAAATATAATATAAAAGTAAATTTTTATTGATAAGAAAATAGGTGGCAATATTTTGTTAAACCTTTTTCATTAATAAAAATGAATATCATAAAAAATTTAATTTTTAAGAATCTATAGTATACACAGATTTGATATTACTTTTAAAACTATTAGAAATTTAATTAAAAGGTACAGAATGAATCAAAATAGAATTATAATACATACATATATATATATGAATATTTTTTTTAGCACTAGACTTAAACCTATACGAACTATGCATAGGAAACGATGATTTCTGAGTCTTTCTATTTTCAAAGTTTTGTCTTCTCCCAGTTGTACTTAATTAATGATTATAATGCAATATTTAGGAAATAGAATGGATCATAGAAAGGAGTTCATATATATATATATATATATTTGCAAATGGACGAATTTATAATGGCCAAGCCGGTACAATATTTGAGTCCAACAACGTGAAAATAATCAAAGTTGATGAAAATATTACATTGGACAAATTGAAGCAAGTTATTGGACAAAAGTTACGACTTCCTCCCAGTCAAATGGTGACAAATCTAGTATATAGATATCCTACATGCATAAATCCACCACAATACCAAGCATGCAATTTGGAGGATGATGCAGATATAAAAGAAATGTGGCAAGTCAGAAGAAGATTTTCAACTCAATTGACATGTGCAGAATTGTATGCCAACATATGTAATTTTTTAGATTATGGTCATGTAGAATCACAACCAATGGATGATTGTGTAGGAAATACACTCCTGTTAAGTAGCAATGAGGTGAACATTATGGAACAAGGGTCCATGTTCAGCAATGACATGGAAAATTTTCAACCATTTGAACCACCCATAGATGGTGGCAACAATGGACCATCATGCTCTCTTCCTCAAATAGAAGACATTGTGGATGAATTTGAGGATGAAGATGAATATGATTCATATTTAGATGCTAGTAGTGGGAGTGATAATGATGACAACGATAATGAATATGATGATATGAACGAGCAGAATGAGCTTGCAACTGCTTTCTTATTGCAAATTCACGTCGAGTCAGCTAGAGCTCCTGAGTTTAGTGAATTAGATAATATTCTAAATGTTGGGGATAATGAAGAATTATATATTGGAAAAATGTTTAGCAATGTCCGTGTTCTAAGACGTGCAGTGAAGTTATACTCTGTTCGAGTTCATCATACATTTAGGGTTCACTATTCATGTAAAAAATATGAAGAATATCGTTGTATTAATTATGGACAAAATTGCAATTGGAGAGTAAGGGCTTGCAAGAAAGAAAGCAGAAACTTTTGGGAGATCACGAAATATGGGGGCCCTCACATATGCTTGAGTACATCATTAACTCTAGACCATCCAAAATTAGATGCTGATGTTATATCCTCTTGTATTGTGGTAATGGTAACTGACAAGCCAGATGTGAAAGTGTCACAAATTATTGAAAGGATGCAATCCATATTTGGTTACACTGTATCATATAGAAAAGCATGGAAAGCAAAACAGTTAGCAGTTGCGATTGCTTTTGGGAATTGGGAGATCTCATATTCCTTACTCCCGAAGTGGTTAGCCGCAGTTCAACACTTCATGCCTGGATCATGCATACATTTTTCAAATAAACAATGCCCTGAAGTTAGTACAAATGATCAACCAGTTGAAATGTTTCATCGTGTTTTTTGGGCATTCAAGCCATGCATAGATGCATTTCCTCACCTCAAGCCTATTGTACAAGTTGATGGAACATTCTTATATGGAAAATACAAGGGCACGTTGCTCATTATAGTGAAATTTGAAATTGTTTCTTAAAAGATGAATTTTTTATATTGATTTCTAGAAGATGAACTTCCATTACAAGTATGATGAAAGATATCGAATAAATTATTCTTTTGTGGATGAATTTTGGAAATTTTTCACTTGAAAATGAATTTCGCATATAACATTTTAGTAAATCTTCTTAAAGTATAACATTTTGATAAAATTTTTTTACTGTTTATAGGTCAACAGTAAAAAAGCTTGCATTCTTGGGAAGGATGATTGAGACGTATGGGTAAGGCAAAATTTTTTTTTTTTTAAATGTGTTATCAGTCTTGGGAAGAATGTATCATTTTAAAAATTTCTTTTTAATTTTAAAAAAATATTCAGATATTCATATGGAATGGAGGCAGAAGAGGACAGAATGGCTTAGGGCTCTTAAAATTAATCTATCAAAGATGAACTTCTAAAATTCATCTCCACTAGATGAATTTGCAAATTTTCCCACTTTATTGAAGAACTCGTTTTGGGTAAGATAAAGTTTATAAATTCATCTTTTGGTGATGAATTTCAAGTGTAGCATTTCGGTAATATCTTTCCGCGCTGTAGCATTTTGGTATTTTATTTTACTGTTTATAGCATGTGGGTAAAAAAGCCCGAGAGTTTCTAGCTCCTATAACTTGATTATTCACTGGGTTAGTTATTATTTATAAACTACTACTTTCGCTACTAAATATAATAACTAGTTAACTAATTTGATATAATAACTAGTTAAGTAATTTAAATAGATTAAAAAAAATAAGTTAAGTTTTTTTGTAATAAATAATTTTTTTTCCTAAAATATTCTTACTAATCAAATTTATTGACTAGAAATATTATTATTAAAATGACTATTTAAAAAAATTGATAAATATGATAAAAAAATAAATTGACATATTATATTTAAAATTAAAATAAAAATTAAACGAGATCTTATATTAATGACTGGAGGTAGTACTTATTAATAAGATTTGCATATTAATATGGAAAATCGATATTATGATTTTTTTTTTGGCCAACCGATCTTATGAATCTGACCCTTCCTTACTAATTAAATTTTTTTGAGATTGTTCCTAGTTTTCTTTTCATTACATCAATAATCAATAAGATTTTTCAAATCTAAACATCCAACAGCATTTTACTTTATTTATCTTTATTATATCCGAATTAGTTTAAATTCCCGCGTCCCTATCCCGACAATTTTGCGTTTCGGTCTCGATTTCTCGCATCAGTTTCTCATGAGGTCATCGTCATCTCTTTTAGCTTTCCCATTCTCTTGAGGGGCAAAAAAAGAAAAAAATTCCAGCGTTATGGGGCAACTATATAAGATGACTCCCAGTCCCATCCTTATCTCCAAGCAATTCAAATTCCGTTTGACGGCCCTGTAACTTCAGAAATCTCGTTTTCTTCCTCTTTTGTAAATCAATGGCGTTTAGGAGATCCCTTGCTCAACGCTTACTCAAATTTACCAAATTCTCTTCGCCGGCTCCTGCCAATGGCCGTTTGTCTTCTTCCTCTGTTCATCCTCGAATACCCACGAGCCCCAGCAATCCTGACATTGCTCCGGATCCGGGAGATAAAGGCATCTTCCTTCGTTTCTTGCACAAGCGGTCGCTGTTTCAGCCGGAGCGCCGATCGCCATTGCTGGGGGATGGCGTTGTTGATCAGCTCAAGGCTATTAGCGCTGCTGGAAATCGCATTCGATTGGACGGTTTGGTTCCTCCGCCGGAGAATGCGAATATGGCTGTTGGGGATGCGAGGAAACTGTTGAGGGCTGCGCAGCTGGAGTTGGTGAAATCGAAGCTGCGGGAGATCCAGGAGAGCTGCATACCGTATTCGGAGTTTCTTCAGATCTGCGCCGAATATTGCTCGGATGAGGATCAAGCCAAACGAACGGCTAAGATGCTTGATGATTCTGCTGCTGTAATTGTCTTGGGAGATGTCGTGTTTCTGAGGCCGGAAGAGGTGAATACCTATCCCCCTCTTGTCTTTTTATTTTTCTTGAAGTTTTATTCAATTGCCCCCATGTTATTTTGCTCCTTGTTCTGTTGGGTTAGTTTTCTGGGTTTCTCAGAGGGTCATGGTGGAGATCACAGATATGTTTCACATACTTTCCATTTATTATTCACCCCATTCATTTGGAGACTACCGAAAACTGATAAGCTTTTCCGGTGACTTTTGTTTTTTCGACAGGAAATTGAAAGTTTGTTGTTTCGCCAGTTCTAAAACGTGTAAAGGATTCCACGTTTCAGATGGTAAATTAGGGCTTCCCAAGGACCGAGAAAGCCCTCATTCTTCCTTTCATCACAAAAATCCTTTCACTTTACCTAAGGGAATTAACTAATTAACTAATGAGATTTTTTTTCCTAAAAATAGTATTAGGGTTATATTATGTGGGAGGGGCTATGGGTTACTGTATTGAGAATTTGAGATCATTTCATTAGGAAAAACGTGAAGTAAATAAAATAAATTTTTTAAAAAACAAAGTAAGTGGGATAAATTTGTGATGTCGAATTAAGTGTGCCGGCCATCCTTTCCCACCCCTAATTTCTCTCATGGGAAGGGAGGAAGCGAGGAGGCTGGATTTAATGTGAATCCGACCTCATCACTTCCTGTGCTCGTACTGGATGGCAAATCGGCCTCATTTTTTTCGTTCACCAGAGATTTCTCTTATTTTTTCTTGTGGATGAATTAATGGGATTCCCCCCATTAGTTATTTGAGGAATAACTTGAAGTAAGAAGAATAATTTTCACCGCAATGAAAAAGAAGTAAATGGAATGAATTTGTAGATTGGGATAAAGAATGGCTTTATGCAGGCTATCCTTGCGGGGCATTGGTTTCGTGCAGGAGAGAAAGGGGTGATATTGCGAGAAATTTATTATTGTAGATCTCACCTCACCTCTTTATTTCTCTCTTGTCCGCACGAGATCCTCGTGTATTAGGGAAAACCATTCAATTCAAATATTTACCCAAAAACCCATTCATATCTGGATCCCCACCCCGTTCATTTCAGGCAACGCACCAGGAAACTTCAAATTTAGACTAACATTGATGTGAAACATGTAAAATGCTCATTCGAGTTGCTTCGGCGCTGCTTCTTTTAATTTTATTTTTCAAATTTTAAATGATCGAAGGGAAAAAAATATTTGTTGATGGGCAAGTGGGTCCTTGGGAATGGGAAATTTGGATTCCTGACGGAAAGTTGGGGGGGGCAGAGATGTGAATAAAAGGATAAATAGACCTTTTGGTATGTTTTTGTGAGAAGCCCTTGGGACGTCGTCCTATTTGCGCCCTGTAAAATCCAGACATTTCTGCATTTTATTTCAAGCAGTTTCCAATTTTTAGTTTTCTACTTCTTTTCACACTTGTTAGTTGTCATTTTCTTTTTCTTCACCTAACCTCTATCGCGTCTAGAAAAATCCAGTCCTTCCCCGATAAATGACAATGCCTTCCTTTCTTATTTTGTCCTTTTTCTTTCCTCCTATCAAAGTCCAATTGTGCTGACCTGGTAAACCTTTTATCCAAGCTGAGTTTGTCAAGGGTCTAAAAGAGTCCTGTCAGTTTGCATTTCCCTCTCTTGGCCTTGGAAATGTACAGTTAATCCTATAGAGAGAAGCCGAATGTAAATTGAGCCATATTTTACCCAAACTCTAAATAATTTGTGATACAGGTAGCAAAAGCCATTCAACGTCTGCTCCCAAAGACAACGGGGAAGACATATGACCCAGAAGTGGCCAGAAAGGAGCTTGAAGAACTGGAGAAACAGAAGGCAGCCATAGACACAAAAGCTGACGGCTTGGTTCGGCGTGAGCTGTGGGGAGGGCTGGGTTACCTGGTGGTGCAAACAGCACTGTTCATGAGGCTCACTTTTTGGGAGCTTTCATGGGATGTGATGGAGCCCATTTGCTTCTATGTTACGTCCATCTACTTCATGGCTGGCTACGCCTTCTTCCTCAGAACCTCCAAAGAACCATCTTTTGAAGGTTTCTACCAAAGCCGTTTCAGCTCCAAGCAGAAACGCCTCATGGAACGCTACCAGTTCGACCTTGCCAGGTATAATCAGCTCAGGGCTGCTTGCTCCCACTCTTCGCCATCACCTTCGGCTTCCAAGTTGGGTTCTTCCGTTGCTTCCCATCCCCCGTTTCACAATTCTCACAGCGATGAATTCCATTTGTAGAACATACTGACCATTATTGATTTTTCATGTATTGACCGCCTCTTATGATTTGAAAATATAGAAGGAAAGAAAAAGGAAAAACCTTGGACCCGGCGGCGGAGTCTTTTTTAGGATATCATTACAAAGCAGAGGAAAAATTCGAAAAATGCATGACTAAAATGTAGGAGCGGCTTTATGTAGCGACAAAAGCAGAGTGTTGTAATTATTGTTCAACTTAAGGAATTGTAACAGCAAAAAAATGCCAAGTGTTCCCAAGCTATTTCGCTTTCACCCGTGGTCCCATTTTTCCTAAGCCCTCCCCTGAAGAGTATATAATACCTAAGAAACCGACCTTGTTTTAACACATTTTCTGTTCTTAATTATAACAAAGCATGGTTTAGATCAAAACAAAAGCATTCATGGGGCAGGTGGAAAGAATCAATTGGCTATTTCCTTGATTCATTACATATACTGATTAGTTAGTGCGTATGATTTTAAATTTCAAAATGGAATGTCCTTGATTCTTTCATCCGGTTGTTAATACGCTGTATACAGTTTATATTTGTTATGTCAGAAAATAAGGAACTTGTAATGTTAGTTTTACATTTTTTTTTAATAAAAGATTGATATTACATTCCAGTCTAGGAAAAAGATAATACATATAGCTGGAAACTAGAAAGGAACCAAGCAAATGGTCATTAAATTCCAATGTAAGTAAATATTAAAGTACCTTTATTTAGGCTCAGAGGGAAGTTATTGAACTTGTAAGATACTCCACCACTCCCGTTGCTATCGTATTAAATATGGGGATAGGCTGGCGCGTCCATAATTATTGGATACATCAAATTCCGTACGTTATGGATTTTTTTTTTCTGTGGAGTTTGTTTGCGACGCGTCAGACTTAGAATAACCAATCAGGAAGAGGTTGTTAATTAAAATATAATTTGCATGTGGGAATATTTATGTATTTATAATGTAGGCATTTTAAAAAGCAGTAGAGGAGGAGCAATATGCTTCAACTTGCAATGGTGAAATTGGAGGAGTAGGTTAGGTACTTAGGTATGGTAGGGGGTGAAAATGAAATGAAAAGAGAAATGGAATCCTTCAATTTTTGCGACGAAGTGATTAACAGGGAAACGATTTATGGCCGCCGGGGGCGTATTTCATTATGGAGTAGTAAACATGAGAAAAAGAAGGAGGACAAGTTAAAAAGGTATTAACAAATTCATTAAGAACCTGTTTGAAACAATTTATAAGTAATTTTTAATAGTAATTTACAGAATACAAGACAAATATGTGAGAAGAGTTTTATCTCAATTTACGTAAAATATATTTATAGAAAATTTCTACCACAATCCCAAACACACACTAAATGAATCGTAATTTTTAAGGAACGGAAGGAGTAGAGTTGGTATTGGTGGACGCAAAGGTGCTAATAAACGTGGGGAAAGGGGCGAGGGAATTAAGGAGCATTGGTTAGGGTGAGTAAATAAAGATTAGGAGGGAAGATGCAGGGAAGGCTGTTTCTGGGACAGGTGATTTCCATCACCGTCACGCTCCACCAAGCTCGTGTGTTTTTACAGTTTATTATATTTTGCATTTACAATATGAATTGGTGAACAGTGTGAATCTGTTCTCATTTCTCAACAGCACAATCACACCTGCGCCCACACTGTCCCCACACGCCTCTCATCCAACTTCGGCCCATTCCCCTGCTTTTAGACTCACCACCTTCTCCTTCCTTCTCATCTCATCTCTTATCACCTTCAATCTTTGTAATTAATGGTGGTTGGGACTAGCGTGTCGCCAGATACAAGCTGACGATGCATGTTGTAATTCAATGTCTGCAGGCTTATTTTGTGTTTCCCAAGAAGCACCTCCCACAGGCCTCAACATCTTGTGTTGTTGATTGGGCCTCAATTTTCTTCCATTCATATGGCTTTATAAACTACCCACCCAACAAAAAAAAACAGAGTTGAAGGCGAAGGAACTTCAAACTTTTGTGTGGGGACAGCATGGGCTTACTGTGTGATGACAGCATTCTCTAGTGGATGACGTTGTGAGTGGAAGATGATTCCACCAAGGTGACCACTTTCCGTTTTTTTGAATTTGGCGGGCCCCGCTTGAATTGAACCCTAAAAAGCCACGGACACAGCAATGTGCCTGCCAATGTAACCCCACCAAAAGCGCGAAGGTTCCCGTGGGGGATGAGGCCCAATTAACCAGTCCAGGCCCGTCTGAGATTATTGATTGGCATGTTTCCATTTCTGACACTATGAATAATACTCTTTGATAGCAGCATTCTCCCGAGTACTTTTATACGAATCAAAACAAAACTCATCACGTATATTTATCTTATATATTATTAAATCACTTTCAAAAGGTTAGTCCAAACATCCTCTTGTCTATGAAGCTGAAGAATTAGCTATTCTTTAGGGATTAAGATTGACTTGGAATTCTGAATTCTAGAAAGTTGTTCTGGAATCAGATACTAAGAACTCAATTGATATGTTGATGTCAAATGGTAAGCAACAAATCTGTAACCTTATGTTCATTCAAATCCAAAACATAATGAAAGTTGATTATTAGGAATTACAAGTATAGCACGTTCTCAAAGAGCATACTGCATAACAGAATTGCCGACACTTTCAGCGAAAGTTCCCCCTCTTTGGATGTGTTAGGAGTGCTCCTGTTGATAGGGATTACATGGGATTGGATTCCTCCACTTTCTAGTTTTATTTATCACTTTGATGAGCATCCTAAACTTATCAAACCTAAACTGTTCACATCTCATTTGGATAGTCTGAATTTGATTCTTATTTATTTTTATTTATTCAAAATAATTATTTTAATATGTATAGAATCTAAAATAAAGACAATTTCTTAACTATTATTTTTTTCAAATAAAATTTTTTCTATTTAAAAATAATTCATGAAAGACTTTAAATTTGGACCATTCAAATTAGATATAAACAATATATATCTGATGAGCTTAGAATGCTCATCAAAGTGGTAAGCATCGAAACTGTGTCCCCAATTAGTTTGTTGTTTCAGGGAATTGCCCTCTCTTTTTGTGCCCTCCCAAAAAAAATATTAACACTAAGAAAAATAAACAACATTTGTCACCGATTCTAATATACTGTTGTTAGTTGGTAAAATGCGATGGTGATGCATAACCCAGGAGGGAAAAAACACAACACCCGCCACTCACAAAAACCACTATTGATTCGTTTCCACTTTCCATAGTGCTACATATGTCTAATGCAACAAGCATTGTGTGATCCTTGAACTAAAAATAATGATATCATAACCCCAAAAATCTACAACGAGGGGTGGTATTTGCTCCTACAAATACAATTAACCAAGAAAAGTATAGACGCTTGGTGGAGGCCTCATGAAATCACCTAAACCTAGTTGTCTTGTCCATTTCTGCTACAGTGCTAACGACCGATCGCCAGCCTTTGATGACCACAGGAATGAGCCTTGGACTCGCCTTCAAGCCTGGCACTACTTTTCCTGTAATCGGCCTGTAATCTCACGTAAAAATTCAGAAACACCAACAGAACACCAACGTTGAGCACCGAATTAAAAATCCAGGCGCCGATTCCGTTGCATCCGCCTCGGAAGAAGTGAAGCAGAAACACTCCTACATGGCACGCCACGTTGCAACCCACCAGCACCACTTGACAATTCAACACCAGCGGAAAGCACGCACTTCTCAGCCCCATCGCCGTCCAGAATCTGTATCCGTACACCACCGAATACACCAGCGTCGTCGCCAGGATCGCCGCCACTTGAAACGACTGCGAAAATTCCAGCCACAAGAATGACATGAAGATCGAGATGGACTGATTGAACAGCTGGAACAACACCAGTTTACGACGTCGTAAAATCGTGAAGATCGTCCTCCACATGTGTAGGAATCGAGACAAGTAGTACACGTATGACCAGAAGAAGACCCGTCCCGAGGGTCGAGTGCCCAGTGGAAAACAGAGCAGCCATTGGAATGGGTCTTTGAGCGTCGCCAGAACCAACGGGTGTCTCTGATCTCAACGGCGGCGGAGAGTAATATACCGGCGAAAATAGTGACGGAGATAAGGGACATGAACAGGCTATGAAGAGCGGGTATGGGGCCAAGAGGAACTGCACGGGTCGGGCGGATGAGGAAAGCCAGAAGTCGATGGAGGAAGAGAGAGATGAAGAGATATGCGGCTATGGAAGTGAAGAGGAACAGCCAAGTGGAACCCCATGACTGGGTGTGGCTCCAACGGAAATTGACGATCGCCGGATGCTCCGACAGATAGAAGCCGAGGTTGTGGACGACGGTGGAGGTGTTACCGATTGCAGGCGAGACAACGTCGTAAACCATGACTAGTCTCTCACATGAAGTAATCTTTGTCTCCTTCCTCTAGGCGAAGGAATTTATACAGAAGGATATTTTCTGTTAGTCGGCGAATTTACTCGCCGCGAAAGAGACTATGTTCTGCGCAGACCAGAAATAGACATAAAAAAGAGAGAGAGAACTAAATCTGTCGGCGAACGAGCATTAAGAAATTTATTACGTGGCAAAATATAAATGGTCGATGATGTGGACACCCCTTCCACATGTAAATTTAATACTTAAGTAGCTGTATTTTATTTTAATTTTAAATATAGAATTCTCATTTGTTTTATTTATCAAATTTATTTATTTTTTTAAAGTAGTTTTATAATAATAATAGTTTAACGAATACACTTAATTAACAGAAATATTTTAGAAAAGACAACTCTTATTTATTACAAATAACTAATTTAATTAATTTTTTTAATTTACTCTCTTAATAAGTATTAATTAATTAATCATTGTACAGCCGCTCGCATGCCGTCTAATTTCTGGCAATTTCATTTTCATCCCCATTGATCTTTTCCGGGCCTTGTTAAACGCCATTAATGCTTGGATTTCAGATCATCTTCAACTAAGGCACAATTTTTTTAAACCAGAATATGTTCAATTTCTTATCATAAAAAATTTAAATGGGTTCAGTCCCGATATTTACCAAAGTTAATGACATTTAGCATAATTAAAACAAATCTGGGAGCTCAAAGTAACACTTCCAAAAGCGCATGTTCTTTGCTTCCTTTTACTAGATTTCAAACTACAAAACACACCCTTGTTCTTATTATTGTAAATACAATTATATATGTAAAGGTTGGCAGACATGATAAAAACATTATTTCCATGCGCGCTTATCTTTAGTTTGATTGAAATAATAGTACAATAATTAATCAGCAAAGCACCGAATAATTAAATC